GGGGGGATTTTTTTTTTTTAAATATGAGTCCCATAGTTATAATATTTTAACGTAATTTTTTACTCTGTGGTCAGTAAAGTTGCATCCGCACGAAAGAGACCACCGTGTTCATCGCGTATGAAACACTTCATTCTTACTTTGCCCACTGAAGTAAACTCGTTTCATAGTACAAAGAGCTGCAGAGGCTCCTTTGCTTGTGCGCGGAGTGTTTCATCCTTTAGAAAGTAGATTGTCCCGTTTATATTGGCTTTGTGGGTAAATATTCCACCTTTTACATTTGAAGATAGCCTGATAAAATATGAGGTTTTAAAAAGATAGAATTTTGCTTTCTAACACGTAGAAGAAGACTGAAAACAGAGAATATGCTAACTGAAGAAACTGATGGTTATTGATGAATGTATGAATGTCCCTTTTTTTTTTTCCCTTTGGTTTGCCTAGTGTGAAAGCTCATTAGTGAAAGTAAATCAGAGCACACCCAGAGTTGCAAGCCCTTCTGAGTCATGATTTAGCAAGCTGCACTGCTAAAATTGATAAATGCCGTCATATAACTTGTATGAAAGGGGTTTGACATTAAGCAAATGAAAAAATCCAGAGAAAGCGGCATTTTGGTGAATCCTAACCTAGGCGAGTATTGGGGAGATTCTTTGGAAGAATACATGGGTCCTTTGGTTGGATACTTCTTATGCCGGGGAGTTGAAGGGGGTGGGGGACCCACAATCATATCTATCCTGGCAAAGTAAATAAGAAAAAAAGACACCAGAAAATGCATAATGAAGCAACAGGTAGAGAAAAGTTGATCAGAAAAGTTGCAGAAAGAAACAACTGAAAAACAGAACGACAGAGAGAGAAAGAGAGAATTTGAAAATATATTCTGTTGGAAACAGAAGGCTCTCTCCTACCACCTGGTTGCTGGTGAAAGCCAGAGTCTTACCCACCCCGGGGGAAGATTTGGAGATTTAGGCACCACTGAAACATCATTAGGAGACACCCCCCCCACCCCAGATATAATAGGCAACATGCTTTACCCGCTGGAATATATTTGCATATGTGCAGCAATATCCCATTGAGGAAGTTGGATATGAAACAACATATATTCCTTCTCCTTTCAGTTCCAGAGCTAGATAACAGATCTTTAGCTAGTTCAGAAAAGCATGAGCCGTTGGGAGTCGGAGAGATACGCCGCGGGATTGCGTAACTCAATGAATGGAGACAGTCATGGTTGGCAAGGTGTCAGGATGAGACACGAGACAGTGTGAACACAACGCTGAAAAGAGCACATTACAGACACAGTGACAGAGGCATTAATGATTAAAGAGAAAAAGTGCATGTAAACACCCCAGAAATTTGCTTGAGTGCAGCTTTAATCCACCAAAGCCCAGGCTACGGGAGGTCGCAGCCAGTCCTGGCGGGGAGAACACAGTGCTTTGATTGCTGAAGGGAAATAAAAATATCTCTTCTCCAAGGTGCCCCATGACAACCCCCCCTGGGCTCCACCTTATGGGTGCACTGTACTTCTAGGGCCAGTTGGTCATGCCCCGACGCTGGCCACAGCCACCCCAGGCCCACACCTCGTCTGCAGGGTGCCCCTTCCAGTTGTACTGGGCAGGTGACCAGCGATGGGACCTCTTGGTGCCCCTCTGGCTATGATGAAGAGTGCTTCAAAGGATGACCCTAAGGAGGGGTTTGCTCCCATCACCACCACTGATCTCCTGCTCAGTGGGGGGAGGGAAACCAGTGAAGTACCTGATGCCACACCCAGGTACTTCACACTTTTTGAAGCAGCTCCTGGTCCTCCTGACTTCCCTGCCATGGGGTGGACATCAGCCCAAGCCTAGTCCAGCCTCAGCAACCTCAGCCCCACAGTCCCATGGGTACAGCTAAGAGGGGAATTCAGTTTGGTCTTTGAAAGATGCAGTTCCTTACTCCAACACCCCAAAAAAACCCCCAGCCAACCAAGCTACTTTGTCTTCACAGCACATCACCGTGAAGGACTGGCAATGGGAGACTTGGGTGGGTGGTGAGGCCATCTGCCACACCAGCTCGGGGTGTTTTGAACTCAGGTGGTCCCACCTGGAGCCAATGGAGATGACAGGCTGGTCAGCCTGGAGGCCTCTCATTTCAGGTTATTAAAGTTAGGAAATATCAATCCCCTCCTCCTCCACTTCGCCCTCCAGGTTCAGCTACACGTCTTGCATCTATAAACACTGAATTCGTGCTGAGCGGGCTGAGAGGCTCAAAGAGAGGAAATTCTTCAGGATATTTTAGTCTCCATCCCAAGGGAGAATTTACCTTCTGGCTGCATTTCTGGAGATGGGAAACGCATGGTGTGCAGCAATGCTGAGAAAGTTACCTCTGCTGCTTGAACATCAAAAACCAGCAGCTAAAATGGTCTCTGAGAGGTTAATGGCAGAAGAGAGATTCCCCTTCTTCCTAAGACAATTTTTGTGTTCCATTCCTGGGATTCACATTAGCTGTTTGCATACCCAAACTATTCTTTGTAATTTTTCTGACTTTATCAGGGACCTAAATGGGTTTGAAATTAAAGGAATGCTTCCTGAGTGCCCTCCAGAGGAAGCTAGGCTGCCAGAGCCACCAAGGAAAATATTTTCCTTCTCCAAGTGTAAAAGTACGTGCTAAGTGATTTTGACTGGAGAGAGCCCATGGCCAAGTCCTGCCCCCGTTCCGGGTGTCCTTCACACTCAGCAGAACTGGGGCTACTTTTGCTGAGCTGACACAGCCTGGGGGGGGCGGTGTTTGGGGTCTCATTTTCAGTGTGGGTCATCAGGGCTGATGTGGAGTGGTCAGACAAAACAGTTTAGCTCAGATCCTCTGTTCAGGGGACCAAATTTATCTGGTTTGGGATTTTTTTTTCCAGGAGAAAATTAATTTCAAAATGCCCTTCTCAGTTTTATTTGTCCCTTTTTCACACTTCTTCCCTATTAGAACTAACTCATCTCCCCCTAAAATTTGATCACAGAAGCTGAAATGCAGCTCAGCTAGACCACATGAGAAATCCCCATCTGTACATATTTTTGGCAGACTGTGCCATCCAAGAAGGGATTCCTCCTACAACAGCTTAGCATCCTAACAGCAGGAGGAAGCCACTGCTTCCTCGCTGCCCCCCTCTGCCCGTAGCAGCAGGGTCACAACAGCACACCAGATTTTATTTTGAATCAATCCCAGAAATGTACCAAATTAACCACATTAGCCTTAAAACGAGGGACCAAACCTTTGCTATCCTGCCAGGAACAGGACCTATGGGATACACTGTAATGACAGAAACTCCCCAAGTAAAGTAGATTTTTGTGTGTATGCCCTGGGGTGGACAGGAAGGCGGTGTTAGTGACATAACACCATTTGCAGTCCCTGTCCTGCTCATCCCTGCGGGTTCCAGCCCCAACTATTGATGCTTTCCTTGAGGATTTCTCTTAGGAAGAAAAAGAATAAGTTGTAGCTGCAAAGCAAAGTGTCTCTTGCTGGGTAATACCTCTACAGGGAACAAAAACAGTGCAAAAATGAAGCAAAGAGAAGGGTCTCTTGCCTGGCCTGAAGGTTTTTAATCCGGGAGAGCATGTCCAGGTGACCAGCTGAATACTGCTCGATGACATCCATCACGTCATAGGGCCGAAGGCTCTCCTTAAACTTGCGCTTGGAGACGAGAAATCTCATAATGCTGCAAGAGATGGAAAGGAAAGGCAAAATATAATCCCCAGGCTTGCAGCCTGACCTGCTTAGTGGCAGATAAAAACCACTGCAGGGAGCTGCTTCGGAAGGAAAATGGAATAAATGCCAACTTTGTGAGTTTAGGAGAGGATGCGGCAGTAGGAGAGGGGAAGGGGATTGCGGGTGCTCGTGGCTGAAGCCCTGTCTGCGATGGGGGGTCCCCGATGCCCCCTGGACTATCAGCTGTGTGAGTGTCCTCTCTGCACTGCTTTTGTAAATGTCAGCATTCTGTCTCAAAGCTGGTGAGAACGATCATTCGGATGCATCCCTGCAGGGGATTTTCCTGTTTCTCCGTTTATTCCTTCCCTCAGCAAAAATTGCCCTTTCTGGCAGCATTTTCCCTAAAGGAGGGCAGGCCACCCAGGGGAAAAGCAGCCCACAGCACAGACATTTCAGCATGTGCCACCTTTGCTTGGACTTTACATTTCTTTTTTTCCCCCCCCCTATTATTTATTTTTCCGGATCGCTTCCCACCTCTCTCTCTCTTACCACACTGCCCTGATGCTGACTTTCAGTCCTGGTGTCAAATCTTCCGTCACAAACTCGCAGTTGCAGCTTTTGTTCTCATCGGGAATGTCTTCTCCAGGGAGGCTTGCTTCTGGGGTTGGGAGAGGGAGAAAGAAAGACGTGTTACTATTTCCCACGCTGGTGCCACACAAGAAGAGGTAAGTTGGATCACTAATAGCAATCCCATGGGGAAGCACCAGATGTATCTTTGCTGAGCATCGTGATGGGAGCATTTCCCAAGATGAGTTATGGCGACATCCAGCAATGCCAACTGCAGCTTTCACCTGTCTCTTCATTCCTGACTCTTGCTCCTTTCCCCACCCCTATATACATAAATATATATGTTATCATGGGTATCAGCAGGGGTTTTCTTATCTCTTACATCATTGTATTTATATTATAGGTCTCCCTCTACTCTCCTGAGACCCCCCTGCAGTTCTGCCTCCAGCTCTGGGCCCCCAACAGCAGAAGGACACGGAGCTGTTGGAGTGAGTCCAGAGGAGGCCACGGAGATGCT